AAGACAGAAGGAGGTAGTCAAATAATGGAATGCCTAAAATCAAGGTTTTAGAGTAATAGTACGTGAGCATGGAAGTGGGTAGCTAAGGTGGAGTGGAGAAAAAGATCATGAGAGGTGAGGAGTCAAGAAACTGAGTGACCAGAGTGTCAGATGTATCGTTTAGTGCTTGTTGAAGTCACCAAGAATAACAAGTCACAATGGAAAGACAGGGACCTGTATGCTAAAATTTTGAATGAATGAGAGGAAATGACTGAAAGGTCAGCAGATGATTGCAACATAGAGGGGGTGGCAGGTGCCATGGACTGATGGCAAACTATTCCTTTATTTAATAAATATTTATTTACATGTGGCCAACTAATTACTGTGGGAAGAACAACTTATCACATCCTCAAGGATTACATACTAATTGGAAGATAATACACTCCTCCATCAAAAGCGAAACACTAAGGCAAACATTGCAGTATAGTGAGGCAGAAAGACCACTTGCCTAAGGGTCAGAAAATCCGATTTCTATTATAAGTTCCAGGTTTGTCAATAATTAGCTATGAGCCTGGGTAAATCAATTAACCTCATCAGGCCTCAGTCTCCACATTTGGATACAGATGAGATGATTCTCAAGCTTCCGCAGAGCATAACATTTCATAATTCTGTGAAATAAAATAAGAGCTATTTCACACGGAAATTGGGGAGAATGAATAAGCACAACTGTCCAGATTTTACAGACGGAAGAACGTGAACCATGAAGGACTACGTAATTTGTCCAGCATCAGAATATAAAGTCAGGTTCATTGTTTGTGTTAGATCATATAATGCAGAGCAGATGGCCTAATCTGTGTTTGTTTTTGTCCACTTTCCTAAATTTTTGTTTGTCCTTCCATTATCTCTACTTGTTTCTAGCTAGGTCACAATTGCTTATGTCAAAGGAACAAAGAAAATACCACAAGAATCCGTAACTATAACAATGTTGTTTAACACAACTTTGAATACATTTTTACAGGAAGCAAAGAAGTGTGTTGCCCTCCAGGAAATGTGTGTTGCTCTGATGTAATTAGGTTGACATACATTTCCCTGGTAGCCAATATAAGGAATGGGTCCACTAACCCTTGACATCAGAAAATTTTGGGGTTGGATTAGATGTCAAGGTTGGGAAGGATATTATTTGGGTAAAGGGGTTCATTAACAGTTTTTCCACTATAATGAATTTTTCCTTTATAGCTGTGATGTTACTCCCATATTTTTGAACACGTACAAGCATATTCAGTGATACTTTGAGATCCAACTATATGCTAGGTACTTACTGTAAGGCCTAGTGGCATTGTGGAGAGCAGGATAGCTAAGGTATCTGTCCTAACTCCTTTTGTTAATATATACTGAATGGTGAAGATAGACATGAACAAGAAAATGAATAAATAAGATATTTTTTCAGAACATGATCAACGTTTGAAGAATATGAAACAGAGTAGCAAGATGTCTCTTACCATGTTTTGCATTTCCCCCATTTAGAAAATAAGTACCACGAGCGTTAGGACCTTGTCTGTTATATTTATCAATGTACCCACTGTGCCTTGGTTAGTGAGTTTTGGTTGTGGGCTTCTATAGATAGGATAGTCAGGAAAGGTATCTGTAAGGTGCCCTGAATGCTGAGAACTAGAAAATAAGGAGTTTTCAGCCAAAGATCTGGAGAAGAAGCATTCTGGGGAAGAGCAATGTAAAATTCCCAAGGAAGCAACAAGTTCAGCATGTTTAAGAAACATAAGAAAGGTCAGTGTGGCTGGAAAATTGTAAGGGTAGAAGTTTGAATTTTAATTTAATTACTATGATAAGTCATTATAGTTTGTTTTTTTTTTCCTTTTCTTTTCTGGCCATGTTTTCTTCCTCTAATTTTATTTCCTTTTTTTTCCTACAGAGTTTTAGTCAGGGATTTTAAATGACCATATATTTATCTTTAAAAGTTTCCCCAGACAGTTTTGCAGGGAATAGGGTGAGAATAGCATGAGAGGAAGCAAGAGATCAGTTAGGAGATGAGTGTTGATGGTGGGCTGGTGCAGGGGAAGAAGTATTGAGCAGTAATTGAGTTTGAGATATATTCTAGTATGCTAGGTGTGGTGGTGCTTTGGGAGGCCCAGGTGGAAGGACAGCTTGAGGCTAGGAGTTTGACAGTTTGAGAGATATATTCAAAAGATAGAACAACAGGATTGTTCAGCTGTTGTTCTTCAACTGTTGTTCAACAGGTGATTGATTGGATACGGAGTGAGAGAAAAAACAAGAAAGACTCCATTGCTTTGGTCTGAGTAATTTGGTGGTAGTAGTGCCACTAACAAGGAAACTGGGAGAGGAGCAGAGTTTTTCTCGGAGAATCAAGCAGTTGGTTTTATCCACGTGAAGCTTACAGTGCCTGTTAGATCTCCAAATGTAAGTGTAGATAAAATGGTTGATATGAGTATGGCAAGATGTCAGAACTGAAGATATTACTCTTCTGTGAGTCACTGGCATTTAGATGCTATGTAAAGCCACAAGACTGAGTGAGCTCATCAAGGGAGAGCATGTCGAAATGAGCAGCAAGGACTAACCCTTGAACATTTTTGCCTTTGAAAAATACAATATTTTATAGACTAGAAGTACATTATTTACCAGGTAAATCAGCCAGTTTTAAAAACCCTCTTTGTCTTCCTCTCTCAGCAAGTAGTGGGAGGCCATCTTAGAAGGAAGCTATCCTGGTGAGAAGCTCTAATCACACCAGCCCCTGGGACTTGCCAGTATGTCATCAGATATACAACGAAAGGCTCTGGTTCCCCTATGCCTCTCTCTCTCATCAGAAGTCTTCCCTGACTCCCCCAGGCCACAGTGATCCCTACTTCTCCTAACTCTTCTTCCTGGTTACTTTCTGGACCTTTACAGACATTCCTCCTGGTGGTGTAGCTACTTATGCAGAACAGATGCTCTAATATGTGTTTGTTTACCTCTATTTAAACAAAGTTTGTATTTGTCTTGTTATCTCTAGGCAATGATTGCCTTTTACCCCCACTTTCAACATTATAATTTCCTCAAGGGCAGGATATTCTTATATATCTTTCTATCCCTTACAATGGTCTGTATTTCCCCATTTGGAATGTAAATACCACAAGAGCTAGGATTTGTCTGTTATGTTCATCACTGTACTCTTTGAGTCTGAAACAGTATTCTTGAATAAACACAAATAGAATAAAGGAATATAAAAGCTGCTGATAGTTGTCTAGATAGATGGTTAAGTGCCCTGCCTAAAAGCAAGACTTTCACCCTTTTCCTTGGTAGACATAACCTCCACTTTTGGTCCCTTTTTTAACACCACCTTATGCAGAAGTGTTTCACTTCATATCACCTTTATGGACTCTTTCCACAGTTTCTGCTGATACTCAAGTAGATAAGAATAGGACATATATTTATGGTCTATATAATGCATATATGTAGTTGGGATCTGTGGTAGATTATCTGCAAAGATGACCATTAACAATTTATTTCATTTTTGTATGTGTACATTGCTCTTCCCAACAAGAGATGGAGTCTGTTTCCTCTCCCCTTGAATATAGATGGCCATGTGAATAGCTTTGGCTAATAGAATTCAGTAGAAGGGATGTTACCTAACTTTGGGCCTTGGGCCTTAAGAGGCCTTTCAACTTCCAGTTTTGCTGTCTTGAGATTTGGACACCATGTTTAAGAAGCTTGGCCTTCTGGATGATGTAAGACCACATGGAGAGAGAGAAGTGTACCTAGCACCCAACTATTCCAGCCACTGCAAATGAGGTACAAAACAGGTGAATAAAGCCATCTTGTATTCTCTAGGTCTAGCCAAACTATCCCAGCTTCCTCCGGAGTCATGAAGCAGCCACCGCATGAAGCACAGACAAGCCATTCTTGATGAGTCCCACCCTAGTTGCACAATCATGACAAATAATAAATGGTAGTTGTTGTTTTAAGCCATACTTCTGGGGATGATTTGTTATATAGCAGTAGATAACTGAAATAGGATCTGTTTCAGGATTTCTTTTATGACAAAATTTCCAGAAATACATTGCATTTAAAAGAAGCACTTCTGCAATTTGTAGCAAAATTATGATGCAATTATCTTTTGTCCCAGCAGTCTTCCTTCTAGGATTCTATCCCAAAGATACTCTGGCAAAAATACAAAGAGACATACTGGCTATTCATTGCAATACTACCTAAAATAGCAACAAACTTTAAACAATTCAAATGTCTATCAGCAGGGGACTCGTTGAATATGTTATGTAACGTCTACATGATGAAGTAATATGCAGCTATAAAAAAGGAATGAGGAGCACCTCTGTAAACTGCCATAGAGTAATCACCAAGGTATAAAGTTGAATGAAAAAAGCATGGCACAGAAAATTATGTGTGGTATGATATGCCATTGTTTAACTTTCTTTTTTTTTTTTTTTTTTTTTTGAGACTGAATCTCGCTCTTGTCACCAGGCTGGAGTGCAATGGTGCGATCTCCGCTCACTGCAATCTCCACCTTGTGGGTTCAAGCGATTCCCCTGTCTCAGCCTCCCAAGTAGCTGGGACTACAGGCACACACCACCACTCCTAGCTAATTTTTTGTATTTTTAGTAGAAACAGGGTTTTACCATGTCGACCAGGATGGTCTTGATTTCCTGATCTCGTGATCCACCCACCTTGGCCTCCCAAAGTGCTGTGATTACAGACGTGAGCTACTGTGCCCAGCCATTTAACTTATTTTTTAAAGAAAAGATAAAATATAAAAACTTTAGGCCGGGCGTGGTGGCTCACACCTGTAATCCCAGCACTTTGGGAGGCTGAGGCGGGTGGATCACCTGAGGTCAGGAGTTTGAGAACAGCCTGGCCAACATGGTGAAACCCCATCTCCACTAAAAATACAAAAATTAGCCAGGCGTGGTGGCAGATGCCTGTAATCCTAGCTACTTGGGAGGCTGAGGTAGGAGAATCGCTTGAACCCGGGAGGCGGAAGTTGCAGTGAGCCGAGGTTGTGCCATTGCACTCCAGACTGGGCGACAGTGAGAGACTCTGTCTCACAAAAACAAAAACAAAAACAACAACAACAACAACAAAACCTTTAAAAGAAGTTATTACCTTAAGAAGAGAGAGGGGATTGGGTAAATGATAACACAGAAATGTAATCATAAAACTCTAGACTGCCCACGCCCCCGGCCCGCCCAGCCTGCAGCAGCAGCAACAGCAGCAGCGGGCAGCCGCACAGGCGTTTATGTCGGGTCTCCGGGTCTCCCAGCAGCATCCGAACTACCTGATCAGCGGCAGCACCAGCTGTGTGCCCAAGGATGGGCTCACTGTGCAGCAGCTCTTTGCCAGCACCAACGGCCTCACCTACAAGGACTTCCTGATTCTCCCAGGATTCACAGACTTTATAGCTGATGAAGTGGACCTGACCTCAGCCCTGACCCGGAAGGTCACGCTGAAGACGCAGCTGATCTCCTCCCCCATGGACATTGTGACAGAGGCTGACATGGCCATCACAATGTCTCTGATGGGAGGTATTGGTTTCATTCACCACAAGTGCACCCCAGAGTTTCAGGCCAAGGAGGTGCAGAAGATCAAGAAGTTTGAACAGGCAGGCCATGGTGCTGAGCCCCTCGCACACTGTGGGTGATGTGCTGGAGGCCAAGATGTCGCATGGCTTCTCCGGCATCATCACTGAGATGGGCACCATGGGCAGCAAATTGGTGGGCATCGTCACTTCCCGAGACATTGACTTTCTTGCTGAGAAGGACCACACCACCCTCCTCAGTAAGGTGATGACACCAAGGATTGAGCTGCTGGTGGCTCCAGCAGGCGTGACATTGAAAGAGGCAAAAGAGATACTGAAATGTAGCAAGAAAGGGAAGCTGCGTATTGTCAATGATTGAGATGAGCTGGTGTTCATCATCGCCTGCACTGACCTGAAGTAGAACTGAGACTACTTTCTGGCCTCCAAAGATTCCCCCAAGCAGCTGCTGTGCGGGGCAACTGTGGGCACCCGTGATGATGACAAACACCACCTGGACCTGCTCACCCAGGTATCCCCACCTCCAGGTGAGTGGGGGGAACGTGGTGACAGCAGCCCAGGCCAAGAACTGATGCTGGTGTGGACGGGCTGCATGTGGGCATGGGCTGCGGCTCCATCTACATCACCCAGGAAGTGATGGCCTGTGGTTGGCCCCAGGGCACTGCTGTGTACAAGGTGGTCGAGTATGCCCAGCACTTTGGTGTGCCCATCAGAGCCAATGATGGCATCCAGACCATGGGGCCTGCGGTCAAGGCCCTGGCCCTTGGAGCCTCCATAGTGATGATGGGCTCCCTGCTGGCCGCCACCACAGAGGCCCCTGGCATGTGCTGCTTCTCAGATGGGGTGCGGCTCAAGAAGTACTGTGGCATGGGCTCACTGGATGCCATGGGGAAGAGCAGCAGCAGCCAGAAACGATACTTCAGTGAGGGGGATAAGATGAAGATCATGCAGGGTGTCTCAGACTCCATCCAGGACAAAGGGTCCATTCAGCAGTTTGTGCCCTACCTCATAGCGGGCATCCAGCATGGCTGCCAGGATAGCGGAGCCCACAGCCTGTCTGCCCTTCGGTCCATGATGTACTCAGGAGAGCTCAAGTTTGAGAAGTGGACCATGTGGGCCCAGATCGAGGGTGGCATCCACGGCCTGTAGTCTTACGAGAAGCGACTGTACTGAGGACAGCGGTGGAGGCCGAGGTGATGGAGGGGGCGCACCCCAGTGTCCACCTTCAGGCACAACCTCCCTCCATAACTGAGTGGTCCACAGGTTTGCCCTACAGGTTCCCCAGCTGCTTTCCAGGGAGAGAGGAGGGGAAGTCCTGAGGGGTCTGCGGCCCCTTGCTCAGTATCCCCTACAGAGTCAGGACTTTTCCCTGGGCTGGGCTGCCCTGGGAGCCCCCTGAGCCCAGCCAGCCGGGGTCTTAGGCCCTGTGCCTGCCTCAGGTCTTTCAGCCTGCTCCAGCCCGGCCCCCACCCCAGGGGCAGGCAGCCCCTCCTGGCTTTTTCTGTAGAGCACCTCCCGGCCCCCATGCCCCCAGGAAATGGTGCTCTCCTGGCCCTACCTCTGGCCCTTCCCGGGCCGCTGCTCCCTCAGCCATGTGGCACTTCTGAGCTCTTGACCTAGGCCAAGGGGAGGTCTCTGCCCCTTCCCCGGCCCTGGGCTACCCTTGGGTCCTGCTCCTCAGGTAGTTCCCCTGTCCCTGGCCCTGGGGAGGAGGCTGCCCTGGTCATGGCCGCCTGCCTGTCATTCCTGACTCACCACCGTCCCCAGGTGTACCATTTCTGCCTTCTCCTCAGCTGCAGTTGAAGGCTTTAACTTTGCACACTTTGGGATCACAGTTGCATCATTGTGTATTAAATAATCGGAATAAATCAAGCATGTCTCAACGCCTCCACCAAAAACAAAACAAAAACCAAAACAAAAACTCTAGACTGTGGGAAACTATAGCACAAATAACCTAGTTTCTTCTACAAGTAAAATTTAAAGAAAACAAAAAGGGATGGAATGGGAACCTTGTGATTAAAAAAAGGAACTTAAGGGGCATTCCAACCAACTGCAATTTATGAACCAATTTGTATTCCAATTTGAATAAATAAACTGAAAAAGTTTATGAGATGGTGGGGAAATTTAAACACTGGTTGGATATACAGTGCTACTAAGGAATTATTATTTAGGTATGATAATGATAGTATGGTTATTTTTTTAAAAGAAGGTTTATGTATTAGATACACACTGAGGTTTTTATGGATGAAATGATATTACACCAGGACCTGAAGAAGAACCGAGACTACTTTCTGGCCTCCAAAGATTCCCCCAAGCAGCTGCTGTGCGGGGCAGTTATGGATAAAACAGGATTGGCCATGAGTTGGTAATTAATTAATCTGGATGACTGGTTCATAAAAGTTCATTCTATTGTCTTCTTTACTTTTGTATATAGAGTCGTCTCCTAGTATCCATGGGGGAGTGGTTCTAGGACCTCCTGCTAATACCATAATTTGTGGACGCTCAAGTCCCTTGTATAAAATAGTATTATTTAACCTATGCACATCCTCTGGTATACTCGATTATCTCTAAATTACTTATAATACCTAAAACAATGTCAATGCTATATAAGTAGTTGTTATACTGCATTGTTTTTTAATTTGTATTATTTTTGTTGTTGTATTATTTTTATTGTTTTTTGAATATTTTAAAAAGTTTCCGTTTCCTTTTTGTTTTGATTATTTTAATTGACACATAAGAATCACACATATTTACGGGATATGGTGTGATATTTTGATACATGTATAGAATGTATAATGATCAAATCAGGATAATTAGCATATCCATCACCTCAAACATTTGTTATTTCTTTGTATTAGGATCAAATATTTTCCGTTCATGGTTGGTGGAATCTACACAAGGGCAGAACCCATGGATACAGAGAGCCGACTGTATGTGAAATTTTTCAAAACGAAAAGTTAAAGTGAAAAGGAAGCCTCTGAGACCCAGCATTTTAAGGGCACTGAATTCATTTTCTTCGTAATACCACACCTTAGGTCTATTACTCCAAGTAAACCCCGTCTATACAAAATGGAAGTTATATCTGTAAAACCATGATGAGTATTTAGAACTGTCTGTGATTGACATCATGTCAGTGATTTTGAAGTTATAATGAGTTCTCAACCAGGTGTTTTTGTTATTTTGCTTTGTTTTGGGTTTTTAAAAAAAATTTCCAGTATCACTTTTGTCTCTTAGTGAAAGTTTTAATTAACATGAATAGTCTTTTTCTCCTCTTCCAAACATGTATCATCATCATTCACTCAATTAACATATTATTCTTATTTATTTATTTATTTATTTATTTGAGACAGGGTCTCATTCTGTCACCCAGGTTGGAGTGCAGTGGTACAGTCACAGCTCACTGCAGCCTTGACCTTCCAGCTTCTGGGCTCAAGCAGTCCTCGCACCTCAGCCTTCCAAGTAGCTAAAACTATGGATGTGTGCCACCATGTCCAGCTAATTTTATTATGTTTTTGTAGAGACAAGGTCTCACTATGTTACCCAGGCTGGTCTCAAACTCCTAGGCTCAGACCATCCTCCTGTTTTGGCCTCCAAAATGCTAGAATTATAGGCGTGAGACACCATGCCCAGCCTTAAGACTTATTTTTTGAGTGACTACTTTTAGAGCTGCTGGTATTAGGGAAATAGTGCTGCAAGCTAACAGGAGTCTACAGCCCTACAGCACACAACTGTCAACATGCATGCCCAGATGCTTACAATACCATGGAATAACAGGGCCATAATTGAGGTCTTTGAAAGGACATAGAAAAGGCCTGGTTTCTCTTCCCCTAGCAGGAGATGAGAGGACAAATCTTGAAAGGGGATGTTAGAGGCTGTCAAGATGCTGGTTCTGGGGAAAGAATACCAGCAGACTGGGTATAGCTTATTTTGGAGGTAAGATGTAATCTGATGCTTTTTAGGTTACAAACATCTTTCATTTTCAAATATCTGTTATCTCTTCTGTGAACCAAAATGAATGACCTATATCAGTGGTTCTCAAAATGTGATCCCTGGATCAGCAGCATCACCATTCCCAGGAAACTGGCTAATGCAACTGCTTGAGCTCCACTCCAGACCTATGAGTCTGCGACTCTGGAGCTGGACCAGTGACCTATGTTTTAATAAGCTTTCCAGGTGATATTAATGCTTGTTCATGTTAGAAAATCACTGGTTTAGAGAAAACTAGTAATTGTTCCATAAATTTAGTTTAAAGGAGAAAGAAGCCTGTCCTTTAGCCAAGTTAAAAAAAAAAAAAAAAAAAAAAAAAAAAAAAAAAGGACTGTTTACAAGGGACATTTTGAGAGCATCTAAGGTTAAAAAAAAAAAAAGTTTAACTTGGCTGGAGGCCTTGCAGAACAGTAGTTGTGGAGAAACCAGTGCTCCACATAGATAACCACAAACACTAAACTGGAAAGCAGCTGTCTGCCACTCAGGAGTAAGTGCAAACTAGAGACTTGTGGAGACCAGGTTTCCAGTATCTTTCTCTGAGATACCAATCCTTAACCCAAGAAACCCAAGGCCAATAGCTAAGTATAAAAGTTATTCTCTGAGAGTGAGGATACCTAGGTTAGGGATAATGGATAATAAAGACGTATGAGGCCAGGCATGGTGACGGGCACAGTGGCTCATGCCTGTAATCCTAGCACTTTGGGAGGCCAAGGTGGGCAGATAACCTGAGGTCTGGAGTTTAAGACCAGCCTGGCTAACATGGTGAAACCGTCCCTACTCAAAATACAGAAATTAGGCATGGTGGTGCGTGCCTGTAGTCCCAGCTACTCAGGCTGCTGAGACAGGAGAGTCCCTTGAACTGGGGAGGCTGAGGTTGCAGTGAGCCGAGATCGCCCTACTGCACTCCAGCCTGGGAAACAGAGCCAGACTCCGTCTCAAAAAAAAAAAAAAAAAAAAATCTGTATAATACAATATTTGCAAAAACTTGTGTCTATTTCTTTTCACTTTTTTAAATGTGGCTACTAGAAAATATAACCTATGTAGCTCACATTTATGATCTGTATTATATTTCTTTTCACGCTGGTCCGTAAGGCACATATAAAATGGAGGGCACATATAAAAAAACTAACCGTTTTTCCTCCAGGTCTGAGCAGTGGGTGTTCAGAACCACAAACCATCATTTCTTATTCCTGTGTCATTTGTATTTATATTGCAAAGATAACTCAGTAATGTGAGCCGTAAAAATTATACAGCAAACATCTTTTATATCCAAGTTCACAAAGCAGTTTTTCAATCCTAGAAATTAAACTTTCCACCAGGAGAGCATGAATTGATTGGTAAAAACTAGAACATATACTAATACATACCAACAATAGCCACTCCCACTTCTCCTACCTTCACTAGTTCAGACATAGTTAATTAATCAGGACATATTTTATTTTTATTTTTTAATTTTGTGAGTAGGTGTATATATTTATGAAGTATATGAGATGCTCTGATACTGGCATGCAATGTATAATAATCACATGGTAAATGGGGTATCCATAATCAGGCCTTTTTTCCTACTGATCTCAGACATAGCATCAATGTCCTTATCGTCTCTGCTCTAAGAAGCTATGTAGCTATTGAGGGATGCAGTCATCATACAAAACTAGGTCTGTTTCACTCCAAAGACTGCATTTCTCCCTACACCATGCAGATTTCCACTTGGATAACAGGTGTACATTTATAGTTTTATCTGTAATTCAGATAAATAAACTGATCTTCTGATTTATAAGCCAGTATCTTATTAATTTGGTTGACAGATTTTATCCCTGAGAGATCAAATGCCTTTTGATATGCTGGCAAACTTGAATATCTGACCCTAACAACTGAGAGCAGGACTCTAGTCCAGGAATAGCCTGTGCAGAGCACACATGCGGACTCTCTTCTCCCTTAACTACAGTAGACATTGAAAATCAATTTCTATTGCTCTTTTGTGTTGAGCCTAGACATAGCCTTAAAATACTTTTTAACACAGTGCTCTAGAAAGCTACTGCCAGTTGACCTGTGAGACCCTATTGATTTGCTGGTGTGGATGATAGTGACCTAACAAACTGCTCCTCTCAGCATCAAGCTGGCTTTTCTCTGTCCTTATTCCCCTCTTGCTACTTCCCAGAAGGATAGATAGGTTCTAAGACCAATCCAGAAGGTTTGTGTACCTCAGGAAGGTTTGGGAACCTGAGGAAGAAAAATGGCATTTTAGGAAGTCTAGACTCAATAGGATGGGAAAATTCCTATAACATGTTTTTTAGATTTTCTAGAAGCAAGCTCCAAAAAGGTTTCTACATAGGTCTCTTTAAATTCTATATGATCTGTGATTTAGAACTCACCAGAAGTATGGAATTTACCACAATAACAGTAATAATCCTGTATCAGTTAGGATTATTTTGGCTGCAAATAATAGAAATTGCCCCCCAAACAGTAGCTTAAACAAGATAGTTTATTTTTCTTACATGTAAGTAACTCCAGAGGAAGGTAAACCCAGACTTGTATGGTGACTCTTAGGCCATTGAGAACACAGATCCCTTCTATCATTTTGTCATTTCGAAGTATGTAGAATGGCCAGCCTTCCATTTGTATGTCACTTCATGAGCAAATGTGGCTGCTGAAGTACATTTACTCTGAGAAGGAAGAAGGAGGAAGGACAAGAGGATTTATCCAGTTCTGTCCTCTGTTTAAGAAGCTGTGGTAGGCAGAATAATGGCTACCCCAAATATGTCCACTCTAATTCCCAGAACCTTTAACTATGTTACCTTATGTGACTTATTAGTCCTTTTTCACATTGCCGATAAAGACATACCCAAGGCTGGGAAGAAAAAGAGGTTTAATGGACTCACAGTTCTGTGTGGCTGGGGAGGCCTCACAATCATTGTAGAAGGTGAAAGGCACTTCTTACATGGTGGTGGCAAGAGAGAATGAGAAAGATGCAAAGGGA